AAAAAAAAAAAAAAAAAAAAAAGCAGGGGGGTGGAGAATTTTAGCTAAGACAGAAAATAATTATTTAAAATTCTATGAAGGGTGTGAAAATAAAGATAACTTTCCTTGTTGACTGATCAGAGAGGGACTCATTTTCTTCCACGTATGGCCACTGCCATTTTTGTCATATTTTAATGCCATGCTTTAAAAAATAGATGCCTATTTTGATTGTATTTTGGTTCTTTTTCTGGACGATCACCAGAAGGAGGGCAAAGTATTTTTTATGTTTTGTTACTGTGCTATATTTCTTTATTCTTAGCAGCTCTAGGGAAAGGTTTGGTAGCAGGAAGTATGAACAATACTGGTTAGAAAGAGTTTCTAGCCTTCTACCTAATACTTAGGTGTTACAAGTAGCCAGGAACTGAGTGTAAGTGGTGAAAAAGGCAGCAGAGATTGTGATCTAATTGAAATAATTTTTGAAAAATGCTATGACATTTTCCAGATAACCTACATTTAAAGCAATGTTCCTCAAATGGGATTTAAAATAGGAAGAATGTCTGAATCACCTAGGGACATTTTCAAAATACATATGCTCACCCCTGCAAGTGCTGATCAGGATGTGAACAGAAGGATGAGATGCTGAGGCTGTGGGCGGACACATTCTGAAAACAGTGCTCCTCATGTAGCCTGGCTCCCCTTCCAACCCCGACAAGAAAAAGTACAAGAACCATTGATTTAAACACGTCTAAGTTACCTTTCAAGGCCATGATATTACGGAGTTATTTGTTTCTTAAACATCACTTTGAACTAAACTATAGTAAATCGGTCACTTTTAAGCATATAATTTTAATTGAATAAGCATATTAATAACTCATTGTTACAAATCAAAAGAAAGGAAAGTTCATTTTCTCTGGGGAAATGCCCAGCATGACTCCACTTATAAAATACAGAAGAGATGTGACTATGTTTTCCCAAGCATTCATTTCTGTGCACAAGATGTATCTTGTTGCTTAATGTTTCTATTATGTTACGCATATTCAATAACAGAAATTTGTCTCCATAGTGAACTTTGGAAATCTTTTAAAATTGGAACAAATTGTTAGCCTTTGGCAAACAAGTTGTCTGAGCTTTGTCAGATGAATTTTGCATGCATCAGGAATGCTGGCTACTTGGGTTCCAGTTAGGGCTGGCGATATTTGTTTATTCTTTTATTGGTGGTCTTTTTAAGTTTGAGTGCCAGTTTAGTAATAGTCTTTGCGGAAATCGATCTCAGAACATGATGTATCGAAAATATTCCAGAAAGCCTTGCTTTGGGGATTTAGGTTTGAATGTAGGTAACATTTCTGTTTTCTTTTGACAGATTTTTGGAGCATATGCAACTCATCCTTTCAAGTTCAGTGACCACTATTATGGCACAGGCGAAACTTTTCTATACACATTCAGCCCACATTTCAAGGTACCTAGATAGGAGAAATATCCCACTCCCATATGTCACAGTGTCCGCAGTTGGGGAAGGGGATAGGCATTGGGGCAGTTAGCTGTCCTGTAACTTCTCCTGAACTGACTCCAAGCTGGGTCAGCCCTTTATAACTGTAGCTCACAAACTGCTTGGGGTCCTGGCCTTCTGGGCTGCTCAGGCTGGGATCCAGAGAGTCACAGGTCAGAGACACCACGTGTCTGAAAGGTCTTCCTTCGTTCATGTTCATAACCCCTTGGGAGGTCTCATCCTGGTGTGGGCCAGGTCTGGCAGTCAGGAACTTCCTCAGTCAATGGGGTGAGGTGGTTCCCTTTTACACATAGATACCATTTCATATTTCCTCATTGCTAATTCTCCAGATTAAAATGTCTGTTTTCTTTTTTGTGTTTCTTCCCCAAGGTCTTTAAGTGGAGTGGAGAAAATTCATATTTTATCAATGGAGACATAAGTTCTTTAGAACTTGGTGGTGGAGGGTAAGGTTTTTGTTGTTTTTGTTTTCTTATTGTTATTTTACCACCTGACCTGAGTGGGTCTGTTTTGACCCACGTAGTTAAAACTTCGGTATCAGGTTATTTTAGCTAGTCCATGTGCTTAGAGGAATTAGGACAGTGGCCTAACACATAACACAAAGAATCCAAGATAGAATATTTATGTGTCTAAATGAGGGACTGTTACCACTTGTCTTTTAGAAAGACTAGTCATTTAAATGAAATAAAGGAAATGTATCCTGGTTTTATAAGCAGTTAGGAATTTTGCCTGTCAACAGTATAAAGGAAAGAAGATGGGGGCAAGAGAGAACAGTGTGCCATGTGCCATGTGCCATGTAAGATAGAAGTATTTTCACCTTTTTTTTTTTTTTTTTAACCTTTTCAGGGGACGATTTGGTTTATGGCTAGATGCTGATTTATACCATGGACGAAGCAACTCTTGCAGCACTTTCAATAATGATATTCTTTCCAAAAAGGAAGACTTCATAGTTCAAGATCTGGAGGTGTGGGCATTTGAGTGAAATTCAGACTGCCTTAAAATATAACATTTAAAAGACTGGGTTCGACCAGCCCTCCTAAAGCTGGCTGGAAAAAGAAGCCCCAGCCCAGGCTGCCTCATCCCACCCCAATGCTTCCTTTTTGCCATCATCTCAGAGCGTGATCACATTGCAGAAAGATTCTGGAAGGTCCACGTGGAGGGCAGACATTGAAGAAAGAAACTGAAAATCCAGGTTGTTGAAAAGACTTTGTACTTCCACTTCCTTCAAATCCATACGGTGAGGAATCAGAGTGTTTATGGATATATGAGTTGAATGCAATTTTTATTTTTGGTAACTGTGAAAAAAAGATACTGTGGATATATACATGCCTTGTGTATTTATCAGCATAATTTTCATTACCAAAATGTACAGCTATTATTTGCCATGGAAAAGGTTAGTCTCATTTAGAAAAATTGTAGGTGCACAGCACTTAAAGGGAATATATGAAGTTTTTTTTAAAAAAAAAAAACTTTTATTTATTATTTGTAGTGTATTGTCTGAAATGTGTCAGCAGGTTTTTTTTCTTTTAATGTGTCAAATCTTGAAATATTAAATGTATACATTTTGTGCTATGTTTTGGGAACAAATCTGTTTGATTTATATAGTTTTATATTGAATTTTTTTTTGCCCTGATTGTTTAGGGTGATAGGTCTTAAGCAGCATATATCTATGTATCTGTATGTGGATATATAAAGATATATGTGTGTGTGTATGTATATGTACATATACATATATATGAGTGTATAATTCTAAATTTCTAAAAACTCATTATGAATGTTCATCAATTTGACTATTATAGGCCAGCTTTCCATTTAGTCAATAAAAGGGTACATTTTTAGTTACTTACCTTGAACATATTCGTGTGAAAAAGAATACATCATTTCTCACAGTCTTAAGTTGATATTTATAGAAATGAATACCTTTGTGAACCTAGACTTAGAACAAATCCTGCTTTTGAAAAAAAAAAAAATGTTTTGCTTCTTATAAAATCATGTGTGTTAATAACAAAAACTTTATTTTCGGAATGTTCTTTGTATAACTTTTCCAAGCTTTTACATTAATGAGCAGGCCTCTGTCTTAAAAGAGACTCAGTATATTAATTTCTGCATTTTTAAAATCAAATGAAAAACGTCAAATTGGACCAATTGTCTTGGTTTGTAGATTCATTTATTTGAGGAAAAAAATACAAAGAAATGCATTCATATCAAAATTGGAATAGAAAGGAAACCCTGTTTTTAAGATATCAACTTATTTTCACATCATAAAACATCTATTACATAAAATAAAGGGCCGGGCACGGTGGCTTTTGCCTGTAATCTCAGCACTGTGGGAGGCCGAGGCAGGTGGATCACTCAAGGTCACAAGTTTGAGACCAGTCTGGCCAACATGGTGAAACCCCGTCTCTACTAAGAGTACAAAAATTAGCCGGGTGTGTGACGGGTGCCTGTAATCCCAGCTACTTGGGAGGCTGAGGCAGGAGAATTGCTTGAACCCGGGAGGTGGAGGTTGTAGTGAGCCAAGATCGTGCCACTGCACTCTATCCTGGGTGACAGCAAGACTCTGTCTCAAAAATCATAACAATAATAATAATAAAGACCTAACCAATATTATTGATTACCAGACTTTTATGAAAGCCAAAGACTGCTTGCTAGTAGGAAAAAAATTCTAATAACAGCCAAAGCTGAAAAATGGTCTGTCATAAATTATTTCCCCGGTAATTTTTGAAAGGAAAAAATTTATAACGAGTACTATTTGCATATCCGCATTTAAAAAAACAATTCTTAGAATATTTCCTTTACATTATTCTCCTATTTTAGACAATTTGTAAAAGAGAACAAATTGTCCAGTGGCCTCCTGTCAGATCAACAATTATTATACTCCTTACATTCCATGCAAATGTAAATGAATGCTAGAAAATTTTAAATCTGTAGCCTGGGCGTACGTTTCACTCAAGCTCTCCTACTGAGACTCTTGACTAACAGCATTCTGGCAGTTTCACCTTAGCCTGCTCGCTAAATAATGTGTTGGTGTGAGATATCAGGAATGTCTCATGATATCACGTTTACCATTTACACCATCTGCAACCATATGCTATTAATAAATAAAATGGAAAAAAACAAAATGGTCATTTTGCATATACTTCACTCTGACCTAGTTTAGTCCATGATACTATAATTGTGAGAGCATATCCACATGCTGTGTTCTCTATGTAAAACAGTATTGTCCATTCAAAAATGTGTGACCCTTCATTTATGGATATTGACTATATGTAATGCAGTGCTATCCCAATATTTTCAATAAAGGAATTTATGCATTCAATGATTTTCTTTCCCAAAGATTCATTCATCAGGTATTTACTGGGTACCAGAGTGTTTACTTTTGTGAGAGGATGGTGAAATATCCAAGACTAAACAAGGTCCAGAGCTCATGTTTTCACTGCTGCCCTGGAAACTCCGTCTTCATTCCCTGTAGCCACCCTCCTAATTGTCTCATCAGTTCATGGAAACTGCTCTCATTATATTTACCAGAGACAACTCTTGGCTGTATCTAACAGTCTCTTTTCTAATCTTTCTAGCTGTGCTATGAATGACGACCTCCTCCTCTTAACATCTGTCTTAACCTACTTCATAATTTCCATGAGAGACACCTTAATCTCTGATAAATTTTCTTTGGCATCCTGACACCTAGGCCCTAGATGTCAGGCTAGATGAAGACCCCAAGCAGTCTTCATTGCTTCATTTCCTCAGTTCATAAGTCCATATCAAAGGACTTGGGCGGGAGGGGGCAACCAAATGTTTCTTCAGACTGTTGAAAATGATTAGATGCATCCCTGTGCTACAAGCCACCAGAGACATCCTGCACTATCATAAGTAAGTCTTCCCTTAATTTCATTTCCCTCTCCTTGATGCCTTTTAAAGTTTTAGAGACACATTGGTATGGTTTGGCTCTATGTCCCCACCAACATGTCATTGGGATTGTAATCCTCACATGTTTAGGGAGAGACCTGGTAGGATGTGATTAGAACATAGGGGTGGTTTCCCCCATGCTGTTCTCATGATAGTGAGGGAGTTTTCATGTGATCTGACTGTTTAAAAGTGTTGGGCAGTTCCACCCTCACTCTCTCTCCTGCTGCCATGTAAGATGTGCCTTGCTTCCCCTTTGCCTTCTGCCATGATTGTAAGTTTCCTGACGCCTACCCAGCCATGTGAAACTGTGAGTCCATTAAACCTCTTTTCTTTATAAATAACCCAGTCTCAGGTAGTTCTTTATAGTAGTGTGAAATGGACTAATACACACACGAAACAGCATTAATAAAAGAATTACTCTCCTTTTGAGGAAGGCATTGAGAATCTCTTAAGCCAGAAAGGGGTGTTATGTTTCATGCTTTTCTTAGGATGCCTAACCTATTTTTACCAATTTAATTCGATACAGAAAGGTAAGGAGGTCAGAAACTGAGGGAAATTCCAGAAAACTCAAGAAAAGTGAAGCCACACTCATTTCTTGTGCATGTATCAAAAGTACCTTTGACCACTTCCTTCTGCCCAGTGAGGTCACATACTCTTAATCAGAGGAAGCCTCGACTTCAAAGCATCACATTCTGTGTCACCTCCTGGCTTATGACCATTATCCATAGTAAGCCCCTAACAGAAGGTGTCTTTACTGAAAAAATAAGCTTCACTCTTCACACCAAACTCTTAAGATCTTATTCCCTTTCTATTTCAAATCTCTAGTGGTTCAGAATAAAAATTAGATATGAACTATCTGGTATGGTCAATCAACCCAACAAGATATTGTCTCTTGACAGAGTATCATTGAGGACTTTTTGTTTCTCTCTTGGATCAGCACCGTTCAATAGAACATTCTACAATGATAGAAATGTTTCACGAATTTTCACTGTCCTTAATGATAGCCACTAGCTACCGTATTAATGTTGAACAATTGAAATGTGCCTTGGGTGACTGAGGAGTTGAACTTTTTATTTAATTTTAGTTTATTTAAATAGCCACATGTGACTGGTGGCTACCACATTGAACAGCACACCTCTAGATCAAGATGTTATTGCCAAATTATATTTTCATTGGCAATTAAGTCAGACTATGACTCCTTCACCAGAAGAGAACCTTTAGTTCCCGGCACTTTGTCTATGCCATTACAGATCTTCACACAGATTGGTACCATCTAAGGTTATCTAGTATGTCTCTCACTGTTTAGATAGTTAGCTTACAAAGTGACCAGAGAGCTGAGTTCCCTAACAGTCTCTCTAAACTGAAAAATTGGATCAACATAGGATTACAGGTCCCCATCTCTAATCAAATGTAATGAAAACTGGCCAGGTGTGGTGACTCACACTAATCCCAGCACTTTGGGAGGCCGAGGAAGATGGATCATCTTAACTCAGGAGTTCAAGTCCAGGCTGGGCAACATGACAAAAACCTGTCTCTAGAAAAAAAAAGAAAAATTAGCCAGGTGTGGCAGCATGCACCTGTAGTCCCAGCTACTCAGGGCAGAGGCAGGAGGATCGCTTGAGCCTGGGAAATCGAGGCTGCAGTGAACCAAAATCATGTCATTGCACTCCATCCTGGGTGACAGAGTGAAGCCCCTTCTCTTAAAAATGAGGCTGAGTGTGGTGGCTTACGCCTGTAATCCCAGCACTTCGGGAAGCCAAGGCAGGTGGATCACCTGAGGTCAGGAGTTCGAGACCAGCCTGACCAACATGGAGAAATCCTGTCTCTACTAAAAATACAAAATTACAAAATACTAAAAATACAAAATTAGCCAGGCTTGGTGGCGCATGCCTGTAATCCCAACTACTCGGGAGGCTGAGGCAGGAGAATCGCTTGAACCCGGGAGGCGGAGGTTGCGGTGAGCAGAGATTGCACCACTGCACTGCAGCCTGGGCAACAAAAGCAAAACTCCGTCTCAAAAACAACAACAACAACAAAAGAAAGGTAATGAAAACCTCTCCTAGTGCCCAGGCCTTGTCTGACATAACGTTTTCCAGGCATGGCCTTCCTCACATGTTTTTATTCCTGTGCTGGGCATTCCTCCGCTTATGGCAGCGCTGTAGTATATCATATCCCTTACCAGGCAGCCTCTACAGTGCACGATGGTCCACTGAAAAGATAAACAACCCATTCCTTACATAGAATTGTGCATTCAGTCCCAAACCAAGAGGAATAATGGAACATCTCAGAATGCCTTACACAGTGCTATTCAGTGACCAATGAAGATTCAGTAATCAACCTTCCTTAGCAAGTGTGGCAGCTGGGATGCCCACTAGCCCTTCAAAGAACCTGCCTGTACGTGGAGAAAGTTTTCAATAGCAACTTTGTTAGAATAAAAGGCAATCAAAAGCCATAGGGGATAACCCATGAGATAACTTTAGTGTCCGATTTACCATCAACAAGGGCCCATCATTTCATCAATCTCTTCACTTTCAGGGTTAGAAAAGGTAACCCTGACCTAGCTTGACATAACCCTTGAGGAAAATGCTAAACAAGAAACACAAAAAACATGTTCACTGTCAACAAGTTTAGGTGATAAAGCATGTCTTCTTGTGCCTCTGCAGCTAAAAAATATCTTCACCTTGACATCACTTTGAAAATATAGGAATTCAGCCAAATAATTCAGCTTTCCATCTCCATGGCAGTCCTTCTTGGCTTAACCTTATTTTCTACTGGCTGATGGATCAGCCACATTTTACCCCACAGTTGCCTGAGATCAGCCCTTTTAGGTTTAAAGACAGCAATTAAGAAGAATGTTTCAACAAAGATATGCTGTTATGCTGTGTTGAGGTTTTGTGTCGAACTTGAGAGCTGTTAGAAGGCCCTGTTATTACTCCACGTGCAAAAAGACCCAGTCTTGTTCTCTCGTAGCATCTTGGTTTTCCATTAGATCCTGCAAAAGGTCAGAAAAGTGGATAGGTTTGACCTGGAGGTATCCTAGAAAGAGTTTGGGGTATATGATATGAGCCCCTTTGCAGGTTATATAATTAGATCACCCAGGTAGACTATGCTAAAAATTTCTAAAGACTTCAAGAAGCATGGCTGGGTGCAGTGGTTCATGCCTGCAATCCCAGCACTTTGGGAGGCCGAGGTGGACAGATCACTTGAGATCAGGAGTTCAAGACCAGCCTGGCCAACATGGCAAAACCCTATCTCTACTAAAAATACAAAAATTAGCTGGGCATGGTGGCAGACACCTCTAATCCCAGCTACTCATGAGGCTGAGGCAGGAGAATCGCTTGAACCTGGGAGGCAGAGGTTGCAGTGAGCCGAGATCGTGTCACTGCTCTCCAGCCTGGGGGATGGAGTGAGACTTCGTCCCAAAAAAAACAAAAAGCAAAAAGACTTCAAGAAGAAACAAAGCATGGTTAAGGTATGGATTCTCTAGAGTCAAACGTCCAAAGTTTGAATCTCAGCTCTAGAGCTTACTAGCTATGTGACTAGCTATTTTACCTCTATGTGCTTCAATTTTCTTATCTGTAATGTGGGGATAACAATAACAACCACCCATAATCATACAATGATTAATGCACTTAAAATAGCCTGTCATAAAATAAGCATTACTAAGCACTAGGTAAGTAAAATAATGGAGAAAGTCCTTCATCTTATGGAGGAATCACCTAGTGATGTAACTAACAGTTGCAAAGGAAAGTTCATCTTTTAAGATAATAACTTACTTAGTTTTTAAAACTAATTTCAGAAATATTGTAATGCCTCTTATTTGCTGTTTAAATTTTTAACTAAGGTTTTGTTTCCTTCTTTTTTAATTTAAAAGTAATATATGTTCACGGTAAAATTTTTAAACGTTACAGAAGAGAATTCAGTAAAAGGCAATGTTTCCCTCCCTACATTTTCAGTGGTAACAATCACAAAAATTCTGTTTCCTTATAGAGCATTATTATGCATATATAAGCTAATTTATATCTTCTTCATGTAAAAGGAAATGTACTCTATATACTCTTCTTCGGTTTGCCTCTTTAACAATACGATGTGAACATTTTATATCAATATATGTAGCCATCTCATTCTTCATTGCATGGGTCTATCATTGTTTAACAGTCTTCATTAATGGACCCTTTTTTGGCTGTTACAAACAATTCTTAGGAACAACCTTGTATCTAGAGCTTTGTGCATTTATGAATTGCATATTTGTAGGATAATTTTTATTAGCAAGTCAGAGTAAAAGTACTTTTTATTTTATAACGTGCTATCAATTATTCCTCCTCAAAAATTACATTAGTTGGCCGGGTGCGGTGGCTCACACCTGCAATCCCAGAATTCTGGGAGGCCAAGGCGAGCGAATCACAAGGTCAG